GAGAGCGTGTAACTGAATTATCAGAGGGAACGGATATTTCGAGAATCTTTCGTTTACGCATTTTGATATATCTGTGAACAGATGAAGAAAAACAAAGATACTTATATTACATACATAAGGTATAAGTGAAGAAAAAAAATGCATCTAATACGCTATTATTGATATAGGACACAAAGTAAAGTAAATATATATGAGACAAAAAAAAAATATATATATACATAAATTGATATATTGACGCTATAAGATTGCTGCTGGATACGTTTTACGTTGAAGGAAGATATGATGATGCAGTTTTCCGTTCAAACGTCGTCGAGGACGAAACAAAAGTTCACGGGGAGAATTAAGTTAGACAAAAGTAAGGATCTTAGAGTCGAAGACAAAGTAGCTCTTAGAATTTTTATCGAGGCAACATAAGGACGGACGGGCGTGACGCTAGTATACTACTTTCGATAAAAACCTCCACCCATTTGTCCTCGTGGCTTGTGTACGTTTCACTCGCTTATCGATCGATCTCCCGAGTTTTCCATCTTCTCGATCCGTCTTGCGCGTACATGTTTCCCGATTTTCTAAGCGAACGTACGCTTTGCGAATCCGTGTGGAACGATGTAACCGCCGGTAAGATCGATCGAAACGGTGGAAAGTGGCGGCAGATCCGCATCTGTAGAAATACTTATATAGCGAGGATCCACGCGAGTCTCGAGAACGGAGGAGAGCGTGGAAAAGTTGGCGAGCGAGACGCGTTTGGCCGCGAGGCAACCAATACTCGGCTGCAGTTGTAAAACAAATTTTCAACGTTCGTTCTATGAGAGTTAAAGATATGCGAAACAGGATCTGAAATGTATTACGCACGCGCCGAATCTTTCCTTTATTTTCGCCTTAGCTTCGAGATGTAATGTCTTATTATAATAACGATCGACCCGACATACGCGCCACACTTGTACACGAAAGGAAAAAGGAAACACCGAAGAGAATTCAAGCAAACCGTAAGAGTAAAACGATAATGAAGCGTAGTAATCCCCGTATCCGCGATTTACGACTAGTTTACAGGATGTAACACGTAACTGCGTTTACCGGAGGGACGTTACGACAGCGGAAGGAACGCGATCGAGAAACACCAAGGAACGGCCCGGTTCGATTCGCGTTTCTCTGCTGCGGTAACGGCTAAACATTCGAGACTAAACTAAGTGGCATCCTAATTTACAGAAACTATTAGTCGAACAATAGAAACCGCACATTTTTCGGAATCCGATTATTTAATCGTATACATCCCCGGCCGTGAGCCAATATCCGACACAACGCGTCCACGAACACAACTGCACCCCACCACTTCACCCACTTACATACATACACGCGCACGCACACAGACAGACACACACACAGACACACACGGCCACGCACACACATGACACAAAACACGTACATGTGCTCATACACGTCTACGTACACGTCTAAGAAAACGTCTAAGAAAACGTCTAAGAAAACGTAGACTGGGGGAAAACGGAAAGAGTTAAGTTATTGAATGATAGGATAAAGAGAAAGTAAGAAAGGAAGGTATAAGAAAGACGAAGAAAGTATGAGAAAAGAGTATGAGAAAGATGTAAACGTACGAACGAAAGAGAAATAGCGACAGACAAAACAAAATTGAAAGCAAAGGAATATATTCTTGGAACAAGTACACTAAAGGAGAACACACAGTATATTACGCGACAAACATGCACAACCGCGCGTTCGCTGTAAATAGGAAGGATGCAACATTATTATACGACAAAGTTCATCTTTATTATCGTAACCTGTAATATATTTATTTGTCCGGTCGTAAAGGTATTTTATGTAATTTAAGATCCGAGCCTCTGTTTCATTTGAATTTGCCGCCATAGTGCGCTAACGAGGCATTGGTCGATGCAGTAACAGATAGAAAGGCGTTCTTTTGGTACGATAAATATTTTTGAAAGCGATTGCAAATAAAGTTGTGGAGCGCGTATGGCTTCACGTGACCAGTGTCTCGCGATAATTAGGAGCGAAATCGAAAAGGATCAGGTAATGCGATCTCGCGATCGAAGTTGATCGTAGCAATTTCCGACCAGCTCTTACCTCAAAATTTAGAATGTCTCCGAATCGTTATAACGACTGTTACATACACGTTTCTATCGCCTTTCAGCTTCGATCGCCTGATTCTGCGAACCGAATTGTCTAACTGTCTTCGTTTCAGTTTCTAATCTCAATCGATTCGTTCGAAATCGTCGCGCAGCTTACAGTAGAAGACGCTCGCTGTCCAAGAACGACGACAAGCGCAAGTTTCTTTGCAGATGGCGATAGTTTGTAGTTACTATTGTTTCTATTTACATTAAAACAAAGTATTTCTTTTTCAGTAGATAGTCGAATTGATTAAACCGACACACTATACGAATAGTTGCGCGCGTGTCTTTAAGAAAACGCTCGAAATATGTGTGTGTACCCGTGACGAATCGCGAAGCGACGTTTGTTTCCGTTTTCTTCCAAATACCTCGGATACGAGGTTTTGGAAATAGTTTTCTTTAGTCACGGATGCAAGCAAAACCCGTCACCAATTACGAATTCCTCTTTTATTTATTACCGATTAGCATGTAAGATGACGTTCTACCAACATATGCTATAATTATAAATACACCTTATATATAGTGGAGTAAGCGTTACATTACCTACCTACCTACCTACCTACCCACCTACCTACCTATCCGTGCTTGACGGGTGAAACAAACAGATGAATCACGCAATCATATATTTAAGTTGCTATTTGGCACATATATCTAAGTAATATACTAACATAAACAGTATGCAATAATAAATATGAGAAATTAAATATGATCTTTTTCACTGAATCGCACAGCAACCCCTCCTATATTCTTTATCTTTCGATGCACGCGATGTTCCAACGATTACATATTCTTGATAAAAACGAAGGTTCTGCACCAAAAAGACAATGAATTATTACTTCGTAAAGTACTAAGGCAGCAAATAAACAATGTTTTTTTAATACGTCTATTTTTCTTGGAAATAATTTATTTACATTTCACGATAAGTTGTTCGACTTCCGTGATGAGCGTAATGTGTGTACGATCATACAAATGTTACAATCAGTGAGTAAAATAACAGCGAAAGATATAAAAAATACTCTAAAATGACAAAATTCAATTCTTTAAAAAATTGAAGGCGTACTCTTGTCAAAGTAAATCTTACAGTCTTGCCGAATTGAGGACGCAATTATACTTTCTCATGAACTGAAATTTTATTTCTATTAAGTTCTTGTTGGGCGGGCGCTTGCGCGGGTTGTGAATCTGCTTGATTTGAACTATGTTTTTGTGGCACGGCGTTCGTCTGAATATTTTGTGGTACTTGATTTACTATGTTTTGCTGTTGTTGAAAATTTGGAACTTGAGGTTGTTGTTGAAGATTTGGAGCTTGAGGTTGTTGTTGAAAATTTGGAGCTTGAGGTTGTTGTTGAAAATTTGGAGCTTGAGGTTGCTGTTGAACTAAAGGCTGACTTTGCTGCCCTTGTTGAACCGGTACCGCTCCAGGGTGTACTTGCTGAACAGGGATTTGATTTTGAGGTACCTGATATTGCTGATTCGATGGTAGCTGCCCTTGAAACTGTTGTTGCTGTTGTTGAGGAATTTGACCATGTTGCTGAGGAACTACAATCTGTGGCTGCTCTTGATACTGTGGATGACTTTGGTCTTGGAATTGTTGATGAAGCATATTTTGATTTGGATCTACTTGGGGAGGAACTAATCCAGGAGCAACTGGTCCTTGCCCATATTGTGATGGAAACTAAAAGATATCAATAAAATTAATTTTACAATATATTTACATTATCTAATTTTAATTTTTACTAATTGGACATGCTAAAATAATATCTTTTTAGGTTTCTTTTTATTATATTAGATTATTAAGCGTCAAAGAAAAGCTTTAAAACCATACTTTATATTTACTTTAAATAAAACATATATATATGTACTATATATCTTCTTTTTTGATAAACTAAGAATACTTACCGGCTCGGACTGTGCCGGTATACTACCTGGGTGTGGTGGTCGCTAATAACAGCAACAAAAAGTGCACAAGCTAATTATTATCAATTACAAAACACTACAAACAATATGCTTTTTAAAAAACAGACAGATTAAATGAATGAATAAAACCTAATCACTGGTAACGTAATACACTATGGTATATGTATATATGTACTCCTTCCTATCTGTAAATTTAGTTAAAATAATAAGCGGAAATACTATTATACGCATTATACAAATGTTTGTCTACAAATAAAAGCGGATTAATTGCTTACATAATGCTTTCTTTACAATAAACAATTTGTCACATCAACGTATCAACGTATAAACTGCTGCGGCTTCTAAGTTCATTACTCTGATCAAGCAAAAATATATATAATTAACCTTTCTTCTTTGCTTACGTTAGATACATTTTTGCAAATACTATGTTATGTAGAAAAGCATTAAAAAATTATATATAGGGTGTTTAGTGAAATGGTATGTACGGTTTTTGAAGCATTTCCGATAATGTAATAAAAAAATGTTTCGAACACAAATTGATTTGTTTTTAATCAGCTACAAATTGCAATACTTAAAATCGCCAAAAAATGCTTCTTTCTATAAAAAAATTTTTAATATAAAAAATAAACAATAAATAATAAATAAATATAAAAAAGATGTGTTGAGAGCACAAACGTGATTGTAAACATCTGATCTAGCGCCTTGTTAAACCAAATTTCACATGTTAATGTCCTTATGAATTAATGAATTAAAAATTTCTGACTCAAGGTCATCTAAAGGTCATAATATTATAGATCGTTGTACTCGTCTTGATACTATGCCATTTAAGAAAATCAAGCTGGTCTTAATTTTTTTACAGAAAGAAGCATTTTTTAACGGCTTTAAGTATTGCAATTTGTATCCGATTTGAAACAAATCAATGTTTGTTACAACATTCTTTTTGTTAACGGTAATGCTTAAAAAATCGTGCACACCATTTTGCCGAACACCCTATATATGTATAAAAATGTAGAAGCGATAACGAAATAGCTTTGATGCCACTTCAAAATTCCCAAGTAACAAATTCAAATAGCACGATTGCGACTGCTCCCACAACCTCCAATTGACTTTTGACTTTTGTCAACGACATTACTTCAATGGACTGTGCTTTAATCATGCTTCAATGACACCTCCTAACCTTCAATAGCACAACTTTGACATCCGCATATGACTAAGTAACATTATATACCAAAGACAATAGCCTTGGCATTCCCATAATGCAACCATATTACTCCAAGTGCCGAAATTAAGTAAGAGTCGATCCAGTTCACTACCCAGATTTTTCTTTTGCCGCAACTTACATACATGTAAATAATGTATACATATACAATATGTAAGATGCTCTAGCATCACATTAGGTGAAGTACATATATATATAATTCTTATTTTAAAGAAAAATATATACAAATTTTAACGGTGTTCGTTTAAAGCGGAAATTTTCCATATAACCTAATATCTTTTGAAATTATTTTTAACTTTCTAAGGTCATTAATTCATTCATAGTATTAATGGAAGATATACGTTAGAAAGAAACAAGTTAATCAAAAAGGATAAATAAGCATTGACAACGTAAGATGCATAATCATTGCAAAAAACGTAATAGCTGATCATAACAATGACTTTACTATATTATACTTACCATTCCTTGGGCAATCATTTTCTGTATTTCCTCTTGCTTGTATTTTTCAAAAGCTTCAAATTCTTCCTGAGTGTAAATTTGTTGTTCATCTAATCCCTGCCACCCTTCATCTTGTTGAAAATTTGGTTTCTTTGTTTGTTCCAAAAATTCTTCATAACTACAACAATAACATGAAGTAACTGATGTTATTCAAAACATATAAAATAAATGTATATATATATATATACAAACCTAATAAGACCGTCTTTGTTAAGATCGGCCTCATTGAATACATGTTCCCTCATTCTCTCCATCTCCTCAGCTCGCTTTAATAAATCCTCCTGAGGTGCTCCTTGAGCATAAAGTTTATCCAATTCTTTCAAAAATAAAGCTTTAACTTCATCTTGATCCCATACTCCATTACCATCAATATCTAGGGTATTAATTTTTATAAATTACACATAATTCATAAGACTATAAAATAAAAATATAAAATAAAAATATAAAATAAAAATATAATACCATGAAAGAAAAAAAATGTTCTGGGATTAAAGTCTTCGCTTTCCATATGATCTTGTTTTTCCCATACTTCCTCTAGTTGTTGTTTACTTCCTGGATGATGTACCTGTAAAGTGCAAAATGGAAGAGACAATGGAAATACGTGTATATCAGTAGAATACTAAATCACTTATATTTACAACTTACAGGTTCGTGTTTTTTCTGCTTTTCCTTCATTGCTTGCAGTTCTTGTTCATACTTCTTTTTTTCTGCGTCGTTCATATCTATAATAAAACAGAATACATAAGAATATATTATTATCATAAATAATCAATACACATTTAATTTATAATAATTACGTTTTATCTTTTCTTGTTCTTCGTATTTCTTCTCCATTTCATGTTGTTTAAATTCCTCACGTCTCCTCCTATCAGCTTTTGCTAAATCTTCAGTAGTCTGTATAAAAGAACAATTAACATATTTATGTCTGATAAACTTGTCTTGTACAATACTAATGCTGCATTACCTTAGCAATTAATTTCTTTAGATCCTGGATCTCAAATGTACGTGTATTCGTATGATCTAAATGTTCAGGTATTTTTAAATGTTCAATATCTAAACCATTCTTTAATTCATTTTCTTTTGTCGCAAGATGTCTTAATCTTTCTAGTTCGTCTCTCTTTATTTCATCTAATCTTGATCTAATATTATGGTTCACAAATTGTAGTTGATCGGCTATCTTTCCTGTCTAATGAAAAAATAAGTTACAAACACATATAGCAACATGGATTGTATTCTTTAAATTCAATTATAATATAATATTATTTCTTTCAAATTACACGTATATCTGCTTCATCTGCTTTCTCCAACTTCTTTTGAAAATCAGGATCACTTTCTAACACCTGAACTACTTCCATTAGGTATCTGCGATATTCCATGTCTACCTATGTAAAAGACTTTTGCTATGAATATTGTTTATAAAATAAAAAATTATCTTTATTGTAAGAAACTTACCATTGGTTCTATGTCTTCAACTTCATTTTTATTATCATAATCTTTGCTTTTTTGATTAACGGGTGGTGCAACTGACCAGTGAACTGTCACAGTTATTAGAAGAAATAACAGGAAGTACTTCATCTTTCTACCAAAAAGAATTGTAGACCATAAGTAAAAATTATGAAAATATGGTAAAAACTATTAACCGATTGATTATTTACTGACAAAATAAGAATGAAAATAATACACGAATTAGTTGACAATAATGTTATAGTATAGTCAATTAAACAATATGTTATCGATTTACCACGTTTCGTTGAAAAACTATGAACCACTAATGTAGCATACGCGCAACAGATGTTTCAATGAGAAAGCTGTCGTAATAGGTATTTACGCGGAAAATATACTGATTAAGTCGAGTCACATACTTGCATCACTAACAGTTGGGATAGCTGATTCAACGAATTAAAAACCAATATGTTTACTCGAAATAACACTATATTCTCTTTATTTCTAATATTATAATTGCACATGCGAAAATTGCAACGTCAAAATACTCTTCACAAAAAAAAAGCTATAAAAATGAAAATTTCAGAAATATAAAAGTGAGAATATTCAGAAACTTCAAATCACACTAATTAAATGAGACCACATACAAAAAAAGTGCATATACAGAGAATTCTTCTCAATATTGCTGTTTACTGTTACTTTGATCGCCTTAGTGAAAGTATAAATGTGTAAATTTTCACCTGACACACAACGAAAGATTTTCTATTCTCACTTAAAACTTAACCAATAAATAACCGTGGATCCTCGTGTACAAGTAATCACAATTATGTGTGATTAACTATCAGTGTTGAGATAAAAGTGAGAATATATTGAACATTATATACTTCACACATATATAAAAGTGAAATATATACCGATTATTTGAAAATCCAATAATAATCTCGGCAAATAACAATAATTACCGTGGTACGTAGTTGCAACGACGGGTAAATGGATAAGGATAACGACGTGATCTCGATAGCAGGATTATCACTGATATAAAATGCACTAAAATTCGCTTCTTGTATAAACACAACACGATACTGATAGTTATAACAACACATATGAGGAAAGACAGACGAACGCAATCGAATGTAGTACCGGTCAGTACCGAAAGGTACTGATTTATTCAAGATTATCTTTTTTCCGTCGATGTCTCATACGTTTACAATTATATTATATTGTAGAAGTCTACAGTTCGTGCGATAGATGGCAACACGAATCCATTTCGTTACAAGGGTTTCTTTCTTGCCTTTACCGATAGAAGTTGTATTTAAAAAAATTTACTTTATTACATTATCACGTGTTCCCATAAATATATACACATACGTACATCAAAATTACCAATAAATAGTTTTTTTTTCTTTAACTTACTGTTGATTTTCAACTGATGTTAATTCTTAGCAAATTCATTATATATACAAACGCCAACCTAATTTCATCACGCATATATTGTATATCGACAATTTTTCGTTAGATAACAAACGCAATTGTATGGACAATAAAAATCAAAGTACAGAGATTAGAAACAAATGAAAATACATAGATGCATAGAACAAAAATAGAAAAAGTTAGTTTAAATATGCAACACAATGACCGTATACTAAATTGACTTCAATTTTCACAAGCCAGATCTATATTAGCTTTTTTACGTCAGGTAGCAAATAAATTTAACATGTTCAAACATTATATACACTATCAATGACAAATTTATCATCGAGTAGATGTTACAGCAGTTTTACCTTGGCAAGTGGGAACAGTCTAAACAGGCGGTGAAAGGATCAAATGCATACATTGCAATAGAATATGTACATATGTACATATATGCACAGCGACGTACAGAATGTATGCTCACGTTTTGGGGGTCACTTGACCCTCTTACCATTCTCGTGACACATGCGACGTTATCGATTCAGTATAGTACCGGTTTGAATTAAAACCACCCTGTGCTAAGTCAATGGCATATGCTTGTACAGATTATGACCACGCCCCGGTATCGATCGAAGTCCGTTTTGTTTAACAAAATTCTATAACAAACGATATAAAGAATAGAAAATTGCAGGTAATTTTTTTCTTGCTACAACGAGAACAGTAATTATATCAACCGAAAGAGCAGATGCTTACTCACTTATAAGGTAAATCTCCGTCCATGAGATATATAAATATTATTTTAGAATAAAGACAAAACTGAGGTATAAGAAGGAAGAGTGCATGAAATTTGATATATGCATGTATACGATCGAGATGAAAAACGTTAGGAATAGCATTTGGGTATCTGTTACGCAGGTAAAATAGATTGGACAAACTTAAAAGTGGCTTTAGAGCAAGCTCGTAGTACCAAGATTCAGAAATTATAATTTATTCGACAACGTTGAGCAAGATATACTTGAGACCGAGAGAAGGCAGAAGATAAAGTTAAAGGTATGTCGAAGAGAGCTAGCGCCACAGAAATACCGTAGCATGTAATCGTGATCTCGCGCTGGGCTTTCAAGAGGAAAATGGCAGCAGGAGAGCTCGTGAACGATTGTGACCACCCCGTCGAACACTCGAGGAACCGTGAACTTTTGAATTCCTCGAACGGTCATTAGGACAAAAGTATACCTGTGTCTACGATCGTCCAGAGACCTGTTACTTTGGAACAATGCCTAGCCGGACAAGTGTTTTCGTATCTGATTGACCCATCTTTCGACGGAACTTCGACAAACGGCTAATTTTTCTTCCAGTTAACGACCTTGGTATACCTGACGTATCCGCCTTTTCCTTATTCGTCTCTCTTTCTCCTTCGCCCTCTTTATCTATTCAATTCTGTCTCTTCTCCGCCCCCTTCCCCTCCCCCCAGAAACGATCCGCAAGATCGTGCAGTTACGCGAACACTCCGTGAACTAATCCTCGATTTCTTACTCAGCTCCTTTTTACGGTTCTTCTTTACCTCGGCTTGACAGCGTTCATTCATTAGGTGCAACCAATTATTTCCTGCCAATACACAATTTCAACGTTGGCTTTTGTTCCTTCGAACGTGTCTGCTCTACGTGGGCGTTGATGTCTCTCCCTTGCTAAAGTACACAACTTCAGAGTCATGACAAATATTTTACTTTTTCTCCGACAGACGTCTCTTTATCGTTTCGGATCTCGATACTCCTCCGAAAGTGCGTACAGTTCGTTTTAGCGAGTTGGCCGAACGCGACGAAACACAATTTCACGAGCGTGCTCCTTTGCTAGAGAAGCAGGTTGCAAGGAGCCGTTGTCTTCGGAGTGCGAAAAAATTCTCGCTATATGTTGAGATATGACGGAAGCAGCTAAATGCTTAAACGGTCGAAACGCAGGCTTAAATGCCGTTGATTGCAGTAGGAGGGAAATGAGAGGTTGCACGACGGACTCATATCTCTCGCGGCAACCAGCGTTCCCAAAGACGACCGCGGCTAACGACGCGAGTCCTTCCACGAATCGGCCAACGAACGATCATTCTCCTTTCGATCGAAACGCAAACCAATTGCCAACTCGAAACCTCGCTTCGGCTCGTTCATTCGCGCTCCCTCTAATTCACCGTAGCCTCGTGAACCGAGCTACTTTAGCCGTCGCGGCGTATCATTTTTCACCGAAAAAATTCTCAAGCTGTTTTTTTCGGAAACGAAATAGCATCAGTAGCGAACTAAGAATCGATGGATAGCGTGAACGGAGAGAACGTAAACGAACGTTTCGAGTCTTTAGCGTCGACTGCGTGGCCAAACACCGGTTCGAAAATTTTTAATCACGTCGAGACACGATAAACTAGCAAATACCGAACACCTTGTGTTGTAAACGGACATTTAGCGTATCTCCGACGGATCTGAAATAAAGGATAAGCGATCGAGAGGCTTCCGCTTCCTATGAGAAATCGCTTCCGTTAAGGTGACTCAAAGGAACGAGAGCTACGAGTAGCATTTCCTTCGTGTTCTCCACTCTCAGATACTTTTTCCTCCAGATAACTGCGATATCTGTGGTACCTGGGTCTAACGATAACTATCGACTAGTGACAAATAACGAATGTGCTCTCCACCTTTCTACTCGAGTATGACATTCGCGTTAAGGGATGATCAC